GTGACACAGTGCAGAGAGGGTCTGTGGGGTTCTGCAGGAAGCAGACGGAGCCAGGCTGCCAGCACTGCCTCCTGGGGGAGGAAATGTGTGGAAAAATGATAACCTTTCAGGAATATGGAAGAGCAGGAGAAGCATGCAGGGTAGGCAGGGCACAGCAAGACCCAGCTTGCAGCACACGGCCCTCAGGCAGGTCTTGCTGCCCTCTTGCTCATGCACTAGGGCACATCCCCCAGATTGCAGATGCGTAGGCTGTAATTTAAGGGGATGGGCAGCACACCTACCTTATGTGCGTGCATCTCAGTGTGGGAGCTGTGTGACAGCTGTTTGATAACACCCTGCCGTGGTCGTGCCCCAGGCTTCAGCAGGGACTGCTGGGGATGAGCACACAGCACGTCGTGGGCAGCACGAGCACAGCCACAGCCCCACAGCACCTCCCACGTCCCGCAGGGCACCACTGGCACCCTCCAGCCCTATACAGCAGGAGCTGACCCAGCCCCCGACCTGCCAGCTCACCCCAAGCAACATGCTCCTGTTGCTGCATAGCAAAGGTGCTGCTGGGCATGGTGAGGCATGTGGAGCAGTCATACCCTGATAAATCACAGTGTGCTTTCCTAAAAAGCCATTTCCAGTTTCACTCTATGGAAAAATATTAGCAGGAGCCAATCCAGGCAGTGGAACCATGGTTTCCACTTCCTCTTGCACAAGGCCTCCTCCCAAAGAAACAGGGATGAAGATATCTGAGGATATCAGCAGCCTTTGGTTTCAGAGTTGTACAGAGCTCCCTCCTTCCACTGGGATGGTGTGCAGATACCCAAGGAAGCAATGAAGAGCACAGAGGCCATAAAACCTCTTGGTACAAGAAAGCATCCCCTGGTTTTGCAGCCTCCCACTCATGATGGAACACAGCAGCTGCCCCTGGGCTGGGTTTCTGTACTTTCTGCACGCTCATTGTTTTCTGGCCATTGATTTCCAGTCACCAGCACCTTCCTTCCCATTTCCTGAAGCTTCTTCTGTCCTGCTCTCATTTTCTATTTGTGCTTCTACCCTAGCATTTTTCCAATGGACATTTCCTTGAGCTCTCCATACCCTCCCTTCCCTGTTTCTGTTCCTACTCCTTTTGCTCTCTCTTCCTCCTCCTCACAAGAAACCAGTTCTCACTTTTCTTAAATCATTTCCTCATTTCTTTTTGCACTTCATCCTCACCTCACCAGCACTGCCAGCAGCCTCACATCCCCTTCAATCCAGTGCAGGTCCTGGCCGGCTTTGTGTGCTGAAGAGATGGAAGGGCTGTGCATGTCCTTTCCTTTCCAGCTAGATGTTCCATGGGGCATCTGACCTTGGAATGGGACGGTCTTCAAGGTCTCTTCCAACCCAAACCATAGAACCGTATGGTTCTATGATCCCACCTCTAGAAGGGGGCCCTGGTGAAATGACATGTAGCAGCCACATTGGGAACTTGGTGGCTCACCACCCAACACTGGCTCTGAGCTTCCTTCTTCCTTGTGTTTCACAAGCTGAGGGAGAAAACAAAAAGGCAGCCCACGAAGGAGGAAGATGTCTTGTTGGGCCCTTGCTGGGACAGTGCTGCTGTTCTTGGTCTGCACAGTGTGGCTCAATGAGAAGTGCAAAGAGCAGTCCTGGCAGTGGGGGCATCTGGCTAGATGTAGCTCTGAGGGGTCCTGCTGGGCAGCAAGTAGAACACAAACCAACCTAGATGCTGCAGGGCCCAGAGCATTGCTGCTGTGAGGAGAGCTGAGAGCTGGGGCTGCTTGGCCTAGTGGAGGCTCAGAAGATCCCATCCATGCCCATCAATTGTTGCTGGTGCTGGGCTCAGGGACTCACCTCAGCTGCCCTGTGATAGCCGTGGGTGTGATTCAGCCCCGGGGAGCAGAGGCAGCCCGGCAGGTCCCTCCCTGCAGGCGGCCCAGCTGCACCTGCTGGACCAGCACAGCCAGCTGCACACAGCGCAGAGGGGATACATCCCTAACAGCGACAGGGCCTGGCTGAGTCACAGAGTGCAGGCTGCATGCCAGCGGGGCATGGGGACACATGAGGACACATCACCTGTGGTGCCCAGGGGGTTCTGTGTGCCAGTGTGGGGAACCAAGCATGGTCCAGCCCCAATTCCATCACCAAACACCAGCGGTGCCACCTGCACGGCAGTCACAGAGGGGCCACCAGTCCTCCTGGGACCTGCAGGGTGGGATGCTGGCAGCAAAGGTCACAGCAAATTGGGGGTTGGCCTCTGCTGCCAAGTAGCAGCAATAGGACAAGAGGTGATAGCCTCACGGTGCGCTGGGGAGGTTTAGGTTGGTTATTAGGAAACATTTCTTCTCCAGAAGAGCGGTGAGGCATTGGAACAGGCTGCCCAGGGAGTGGTGGGGTCACCATCTCTGGAGATGTGGATGTTCCGTGGAGATGTGGCACTGAGGGTTAGAAGGCATGGTGGGTGTGGGCTGGGGCTGGACTCAGAGATCTTGGAGGTCTTTTCCAACCTGAGTGATTCTGTGATTCTGATTCCAAGGCCTCTTCCATCCAGTAGGAGGCACTCAGCCAGGCTGTGCCATGCCAAGGGCACATTTGTGTGCCCACACAAGGCAGCCTCTTCCTCTCCAGCATCCAGAAGTGAGAAGGGAGGGGAAATTCCTGGATGGGCACTGCTGGGTGCAGAAGTTCCACCACGCAGCTGGTCTGGGACTCAACCTCATAGCACTGCAGGCCCTTGAGTCTTCCAGACCAAGGCCAGGGGCAGCCTCCTCTGCATCCTGCAACATGGACCGTGTCCTTCTGGGGACTGCTCCAGGCCCCAGCCACCCACTGCTCCTGGAGGAGGCACAGCTTCACTTCTGCTGAGGTCTGGGAAACCTTTCTGCACTTTGCAGAGTCAGAGGTGAGAAGATTGCACCAAATCCAACAGCAAGATGAAACAAAACCAAGCGTGTATCAATACACAAGAACTCATTCCTTGTGGAAGGGGAGAAAAGCAGATGATGATTTATAGTCATTAAAGCATGCTCGAAACAGTTTGTACCCCTCTAGCAGGGGGAAAAAGGAGCCCAGCATCCATTAGGAAAGAACGATCCTGAGGTCAATCTGACATTGCAATCCAACAGTGCAATCACAGCCATTAGAGAATTGAGAGGGTTTTTAGTTTGCTGCATTAGCATGGAGGTGATACTGCTGACTGCTGCTGGCAGAGAAGCCCCAGTGGAAGAGATGTTCTCCAGCCAAGCTCCCAGTTCTCAATGCCGAGTGAGAACCTCAGATTTCCACTTAAGGCTGGAAATTATAGCAAATAGTTGCAGTATATTGTGAATGATTGCCCCAGGAGCTGGGGTACATAATCCCAGATTTCTTGGCACGTGCCACGATCAAAAGTAGCACCAGAAAATGCAATCACTTGCTTATGCTGTGGAAAAAACAGAACCAACGCAGCAGCCACAGCCCAGCACTGTGCAGCATGGACACAGAGGGGACAAAGCCTGCCCAGCAACCTCAGCGCTGGTACAGGCAAAGCTCAAGTCATAACAACAGCAAGGGGAAGTGAGCAGAGTGGGAAATGCAGTAATGAGCATTTTGATACCCCACCTGTGCTCACCAGCAGGAGTTTCAAGTCACTTGTGTTTGTGTATGGCATTTTTACACGTATACATACATATATATAGTCACACATGAACGCACAGAGGGAGAACTGCAGCAGTCCCCCAGTTCCCAAGCCAGCAGGGGCATTCCCATTTGCAAGGCCTGAATCATGCCCGTGCTCTCCCAGATCTCCTTACAAGAGATCACCAAACTGTGAAAGCCTGGAAATCCTGATGGTCATCAGAAAGAAGCAAGACAGCAGACTGAGTAGCTTTTAAAAGCCAACAACCTAGGCTATATCACCAACCCCAACTCCCTGCCCCACAGCCCACCTTACCTTCCTGATGTCTTCTCTCCAGGAGGCCCATCGCACCAACACAGCCCTCCTTCCCCAAGGCAAACACCTCCTACACTGCCAAGAGCAGAGGATGGGAGCTAACTGGAACCAGCTGCCTGAGTTCTGCCCCTCCTCCACTTACAGGCGGTTTGACTGCTGCAGATATGAGCAGGGTTAAGACAGGTGGCACTGAGAAGAGCTTGTCCTCCTGGGCAGCGTGTAGGGCTCTGAACCACTGACCTGTCCTCTGCACTCCTCCTGGCTGGGGCCACTTGCAACCAGCAGTCACTACTTTCTATTTCTTGTCCATATCACAGCTAAAGATACTGAGGAGCACCGAGCCAAGCAGAGATGCCTAGAAAACACAACAAAGGCCCTGATTAAATGAGTATTATGTGTTGACTATTACTTTATCATTTTTTTAACTCATTATCAGCTTAATTAACTGTAAAAGTAACATTAGCAAGAACTTTCATTCTTGACCAAATTCAAAACCTCATCCAAGAGAGGGTTTCTTTGAGGTTTCTTTTCCAATAAATCCGTTCTGCAGAGCTGCCCTCCTTCAGCTCGAGGCACCTGACAGCAGTGGGAATTTGTTTAGTAATCCAAACTATGAGCAACATATTAGTTTGGTAATGTCTCCCAGTCCTCTTGAAATAAAGCAGTAAAAGGAATGGATGTGAGCATCTCTCATGTAGTAGACCGGGGATGAAAATTATCTAGTTTGGATTATCTAGGGTGCAAGGAAACAGCCTCAAGGCGCACCAGAGAAGGTTTACATTGGACATTAGGAAGAATTTCTTTGCAGAGAGGTGGCTGAGCACTGAAAAAGGCTGCCCAGGGCACTGCTGGATCCTCATGCCTGGCAGTGTTTGAGGGATGTGTGGCCATGGCACTGAGGAACACGGCCCAGTGCTGGCACTCGGTGGGCCAGGTTGGACTTTGTGATCTGGAAGGTCCTGCCCAGCCTGGATGACTCCATCTAGAAATGCCCATCCATAAGACTTCAAGACCAGAGCACAATTTTCTAGACACTGCAATATGCACAGAACACAACTGAAATTAATGCACACAAACACAATTTTAAACATGAATGTTTACTAACATAAATAAACAGTGTTTTATAACAAAAGGCACAGATTTTCAACTATAAACAATGGAAAAATATTTACAGTTTGCACATACATAATCAAACAGCAAATGCACAGTTGGTCACTTCAGATCTTCCTTCTACATTTTTAGAGTCACCTCCTTGCAAACAAGTAATTTCATTCAGTTCTGTAATGTTGGGTTTTTTTCCCCTCACAAAAACTGCTACAAATGTCAATAAGAGTAATTTAGCAGCACAAGTTTTCAAATGGAGACAGTGTTGCTAACTTCTTCATACTGGATAATAAAATAAGGGTAGCTCTGATCATCATTAAAAATGACAAAAATCTGAGGCTCAAAGTAATTGTCCACACAAGAGTCATAGAGGTCACTGGTGATGCTGCCCGGGTTGACAGGCGGAGGTCTCCTCATGGTGTGATTGCCCACAGTGTATCTCCCCGTCAGTACTTTAGCCAGGAACATGTAATGAACTCCTTTGGGTGACCTTTTGGAAAAATTGTGAGAGTAGCTTGCCTTTCTGGCAAAGTAACTGCCCTGTCCAAACATGGTGGCATGCTTCCCGCAGACGCGCGGGTCGAAGTTGTGCTTGCAGATACCATCCACCACATCCTGGGAGGTGCCGTGGAACAAATGCCTTTCGTTCATTATCCTGTCAAGCCCAGTCATTTTCTTGGACATATATTCCTTTTTCCTGGAATAGAAGATGGAAACTGAAAATGAGAATTCATCGTAGATCTGCAAGCAAAGAGCAGTTTTCGCTACAGCTCTTCAAGCAAAGGGCATGGGCATTATACTCTGGAACATCAGGTGTAAGAGGAGACACGAGGACAGGGTGCCTGCACCACCTTACCTTTTATATTTCTCCCAAAGAAACTGATTTTGCACTCGGAGAATTTTCAAGATTTTATATTTGGTCTCTGGCACAGTCTTGTGAAACAGGTTATAAATGGTTCTGTAGCTTTTATCTTCTTTCAAAACAGGCACTTGGATGAAGTCCTGAGACGGATCCATACTAATCCAGGTTTCAGGATAGAAGTTTGGAGAGGTAACAGCAGTTGGAGATAAGACATGTGAGGAAAGCGGTTCGGCTGACGGAGAGGGCACTGGAGAACTGCCACCTAGAGTCCTGGTTTGGGAAGAAGAACAAATTTGCACCTGAACATTCACAAGCTGAACAGCTTCTCATCACAGTTACTTGGTCACCAATGTTTCTTAACAATCACTGCTCTTTGATTCTGTAACCATTTACATCACCGTAATGCTCATTTAAAACAATTATGTCAGCTATTTCTTCTCTATTAACAACTCCTGCATCCATCCAAACTAATAATAAAATCTTGAGTTTCCAGCATGCAGTTCCACTTGGGAAAATATTACCAGCTGGTGGTGATTTAAAAGCCTGTTATAATCTTTATTGTTCAGATTCTAGGGTGGAGGGGTGGTTATAAACTACATAAGAGGCAGAATGCTATCAAACACAAACCTTTTATAAGCTGGTTGTAAACTATTACTTATTTTAACATGTAGAGTAAGACATACAGAACCAGAGGAGAAGAATAATTTGGCAACATTTGACCTAATTTCCCTAGACTACAACACAAGGAGCAGAAAGAGTTTCTTGCACAGTATAATGAATATCCATGATTAATAATATTTACAGGCAGAAGCTGCATATATTTCACTACATTATCTAGAAGAAGGGATTACGTTTGCAGTGCTACCCAGGATCGTACTGCTTTCGTTTGCACAGGCCAGATGTTGATTTGCATTTGCAGTTCCTTATTTCCATGTGTGAGAGCAGCCTCTCCTTTTGGGTGTGCTGCCAGGGAAGAGGTCAGCAGTGGCAGAAGGAAGGCAACCACTGCCTCTATTGCTTATGACAGAAAAGCACCACGTGCACCAGAAAAGGGCCACACCTTGGCAAAATCAAGTTGCCAAGGCAAGATTGCACTCTTAATACCCTCACTGCTGTGGAATTGTTCATGCTTTTGAACCCACTAAATTTAGATAAAGGGTATGGCAGTTGTGGCTTATATTCACCTGATTATAATCTGAACATGCAAGCTCTGCTCAGCTGAATAATCCTTACTTAATGGAGTTCTCCCACTTACGTCAATGCAAATACTTTGAATATGTAAAGCTAGCAGGTTCAGGCTCTGGTTTTCTGTCCGTAAGCATATATATCTTCAGCTCATGAGGCTGGTGAGGTTGCCTCTAAGCTGCAGGAATACACTGAACGCTCTCAGACTTAAGCAGATGAAGACATTGCTCAAGTGTTCTCACAGAAAAGGTCGCTACCGACTCCAGGACCAACCAGAAGTGCTGACAAGCAGGTGAAGAGCAGTGAGAAGCAGCCACCTCTTGTTAGGGAAGCTTACAAAAGTGGCAGGAGGTTTCTGCTGTCTGACTCGAGAGACACAGGGCAAGCCCTGTCTCCAAACAGCACAGCTCATTTTACCCGTGCTCATGAGATTTCTCAGGTCACTTGTTTTCTCATAAAACATCATGGCCAAAGCATAAGGAGAAGATTTGTTCTGCCTAGGGGGCAAGAGGGAGGGAATTTCGTGCATTCACCTTGGGCGAGCTGAGGTTTGACAACACCCAAGGCCAAATCCTGCCTCCCTGCGTATATGCAATTGCATTTAGTGCACAGGAACAACAGGCAAACAAGACTCCCTGTCCTCTCTTTGTAAAAGGAAGTTTACTGGGGAGCAAACTCACAGCTCTGCTAAAGGCAAAGTTATTTCCACAGAGCGAATCTTCAAGAACCAGTCATCTTCTGTTCAAGTGCAATTCAGGCTGAAAAGCCCATTTGTTCCCAAGGTATACAAAAAACAGAGCAACATCTGATTGCCCATGCTTGTTAGCCTGCTTTCTCTGCAGAGCAAACATAATTATCTAGATAAATAACAATTTACTGCTATTTACATCTTAGCTACGGAAATGCCAATTAAGGTCACCTCTTAGAATATTTAATCTCGGATACATGAGCCTGAAAGAACCTCATGTGAGTTTCTGTGTGACCCAGAAATAATTCTATGTGAATTTCTGATTGCCTTTGAGCTCTTCAGGACTACAGGAACAATGGGGTGTGTGTGTCTGCTTCCAAACAGATTCACTTGAGCTCCAAACCAGGTTAGCTGTAACACCGTTCACACTGCTCAAAGCAGGAATACTCTACAAAACTGTTCACGTGGCTGCCACTGGCTGCTCAAAACTGAACAGAGATTTCAGCTCATTTGCATGGATTTGACTGAACTCAAACTTCTTACTGTTCATTAACAGCTTAAAGAGACCCAGAAGACGGCCTTTTCTAAGAGTGATTATTCAAACAGCAACCTGCAATATTCCACTGTGGTTTTATTTAGTTTGCTCTTCTCATCCTAAAGTCAACTGAGAAACTCACTCACACTCGGGCTCAAGGAGCAAGAGCAAAATAACAGGAAGCTGTGGATTAATGAGTAAGTCAGCAGCACAATAAAAACTCTGCATCCTTTGGTGTACTTTGTTCATCTATTCTGAGTAATGTAACTTATGTGTAAGCATGTATTGTACGAGGGAAAGCAGTAAAAAGTCAGCATTTGTTCACTACTGTCACCATCACCACTGTTTCTATTCCAGCACTCTTTTGAAACGTTGTAACTGCCACAAGCAGCTGGGAAACCCCGCAGGTGGGGAGCACTGTGTGATACGTGGAGGCAAACATTGGCTTCTTAAAGACATCTCCTGCTAATATTCAAAACACTCTTCTGGTCTCTATTGACAGTTGCTGGATTTTTAAGTCAGAATTACCAAGACTTTGGATAAAAAGTGAAAAGAATGAGGTTTGTGGCAGAACAACATAAATTTCAGAGCTGCAATTTAGATTTGGTAGTTATGGTCAGACCCTCATGGGTGTAGAACCCTCAACGGCCCACTAAACTTACTGGGAGTTGCATAATTTTAGCATCTCTCAAAACCATAGACTTAAACTGTAATAAAATCATCACTGTTAGTAAAATGCCAGGGAAATAACTTCAATCCTTATTCTTCGTTAAGATCAGAACCATAACTGCTATACCCAGAAAGTCCATGTTTGCTCATTTCATTTGCATCCTTCAAGTATCTCTTCAATTATTTTTGGTTTTCCAGAAACCACATCTAAAAATGTGTCTAGCAGCCACTTGTTTTCAGGCTCTGACCAAATTCACTTTCACCTCGCAATTAGATGCTCTAACAACCCAGCAAGCTAACGAGCATTCTAGCCCTAATGCAGCAGTTAAATCTCCTTTGATTGGCCCAGCATGCCAAGCTTCCAGTCAGACTAATGACTTCCACCCCTTTGCTAACAGGACAATATGTTCCTAACTACTGAACTCCGACAATAATGTTTCCAGCTGTGCTGGTGAGATCACAAAAATGGCATTTTTATGAATTGTAATCAAAAAATGACTACAATGCAACACTTTCCTCACTGCCTTTGATGGTAAACATGTTCACCCCCCTTGAGATGACAATAAAAACAAGGAATGCTTTAATTGTGCTTGAAAATTATAGAATGTTTTTGAACACTCATTTTTATGGGACCTAGAAGTGATGGCCTGGCAGTCACCATAGTAGGTGAAAGGCTGCAAGCTGGACAACAGTTTGGCAAGAATAAAGCACATCTGGGCTTCTGATGTCTGAGATCCAAAAGGTATATTAGAGTCTATAAATAACAGAGACCAGCAGCGAGGACTTCCTCAGATAACAATTGCCTTGAGAAGTATTAAGTGAGTAGTTGCCAACGTGGCCAAGCATTTTCCTACCAAAGATACCCGTCTCCTTGTCACATCCTAATGAACACAAGTCTCGTGGACAGAACACAGTGAAAAACAAACAGCTTCCATTCTGCTGGGATACGTACTGCAAGAACGGCATCAGCACAACGCAGGAGCGAAGAAGAGGTCTTCTCTTGATTTCTCTTCTGAAACACGCGTTCTGCTGGAAGCCATCTTTGATGTTTAAGATATACTGGTTATGCCAGGTGACAAAGCGGACCTCCTTCAGACCTCGGCAGCTGGCTTCTTCTATCAGCCGTACAACGGGCTGTTGCGAGAAAACAGAAAACGCACACATGATAAACCATGGGTTCAAAGTGAGTATTTCTGCCAGGCACCTCAAGAAGTCCCTCTATCCAGTCCCTTCTCCTCCCCTCTTTCCCTTGCTCTGAACCCACAAGCCACTGAAAAGTGTTTCTTCTGGACTCTTTCCAGCTCTTGCACGATTCTATTTGCAAAGGCTGTATGCAGTGCTCTGCTCTAAGATTCCTAGCATGCTATAAAGTCAGCATGATGCAGGAAAAAAGGCGAACAAGATGCATTTTATACTGGCGGAGATCTTTCTAGCACTGCCAAAGTTTTAAGACACTGACCATACAATATTTTGTACAGCTCTGGTTAGCCACAGGTGAGCCCTTAACAACCACAGGTATCTAAAAGGCTTAGTGGAGAGCAAACAGAAATTTTGCTTTGCTTTGGTTTTGTCTGACACAATTGTGTTTAACAGCGGATGCAGGTTATGTGTCCATAATAGGGGTTAAAGAGCTGGAAGACAGAAGGCTTATTTAAAACCTGATACAGAAAACTATGTCCACTAAAGAGTGAAGGATAATGGTAACTTTTCAAATTGTTCAAAGAGAAAACAGACTGAAAGTGGGCATGCTGCTTATAGCACACAGTGCACTGATAGGCCTGTGCTACAACCCAAGAGCAGGACTCTGGAAGATGCTAAATACCTCAGAGTATTCCCTCCAGACGAAATGATCCCTGCAGAAGTACTTCCAGACCGTGTAGTAGTTGGAGCTGGAGTTGGGACAGGATGGTGTGGACAGCCTCCGCATTTGGTCAAACTCCACAGTTTCGTATAGTTTCATAACATTTAAATCCACCCAAAATTCGTGTCCTCTGGAAAGCATAAGAGAAATGAAGAACTGTCACTTTCTGTAATCCATTACAATTATCTGACGTGGCACAGGACGGAGCCCCAGCTCACATAGTGTTCCCCAGAGCCTGGATGTGCCCACATCCTACAGCCAGACCCACGACCAGAGGGATGCTCCACATGGAATGTATGCCAGGACAAAACAGGGCCAATTCACTCTTCACAAGGTTCTGTGGGCAGCAGTACCAACCACGATCAGCAGCAGAGAACAGCCCAAACCCAAACCCACCAGTCCTCCTGACCCAGCAGCATTTATTCCACACACATGAATCCTGCACAAAGCAATACACGTATCCTTGACATTTTGAACATACTTCCTGAGTAAATGCATCACACGACTGCACTGGAAGAAGCAACTACACACTATTCAAAAGGTTATTCTTGTGAAAGTTAGTGCTCCAGGGAAGAAAAGAAAATGCAAACGTCTCCAGATGAGGAGCATCTGCTGCCAACCCACCAGGGAGCTCAAGTATCTTTCACAACGTGCAACAAAACAGAACCAGTGCAATATGAAAAGGAGACAAGAGTTTGCTATTACACAGTTGATGCTGAGGAATATCAGCTATTTTTGAGTACACGTATTGCTGCTACAAAAACCAATGTTAATGTGCAACTGCAGTGAAGTGACTGGAGCTTTCAAAAGGACACGGAACACAATGGTGCTGTGGATGAAGAACCAGAGTGTGCCTTTTATCTAAAGGAAACTTCAACTGCCTCTCCTTTGCACTTCACAATGAATGACTGCAGAGTGGCTCAGCAAACAGTTTCTAATGTTGGTTTATGAGTTGGTGTTGAAAGATGCATCAAATTAAAACAAAAATCTCCAATTGCTGGCTTAGCAGCAAACAGGAACTTAGAACACAGAATGTAAAGAAGCTGAAAGATATGACAGTAATAGCACTCACTCCCTACAAAAGTATTTTTTTAGAACTTATTTTAGACATGAATGCATTTCCAAAATAATACAGCTTACATAATTAGTCTTCTACTTTTATAATCTCTACAGGTTGTCAGCTTACTGCTATTCATTCACAGCTACTAATTGCTTCTATTGGGAAATGCAGCTTTTGAGACTATACAAAGTACTTTCTTAGCAGCAAACATAAAGCTGAGACCTGAAATCTACAGCTTATTTTAAAACCTTGGATGACATTTTTTCTCAAGACAACGCTCTGTCGTGTACCATCCATGAGGGGCTCCCAGTTTGTTCCCTGTGCTTGCCAAAGGCATGCAGAGATGCATTTATTTGGGAGGAAAACCAGCAGCAATCAAAATAAACGCCCAGGGTGAAGGGACTGAAGTGACACGTTGGGCTTACAAAAAGCCCCACGTGCTTTTGGTAGTGAAACAAAAAAGATCTACCAGGAAAGTCAGCCCACCTTCCTGGTATGGAGTCATTTTGTTCTGTAACAGCAGGCTGCAATCTACCTTATTAGAAGACAACGTGTGAAACCATGAGGAAACAATCTGTGTGTGATACTGAGCTGCACTCCTGGCCAGCAGGAGCACGACAGGAGTTTGTGAGTGAAGTTCTTTGCAACTGGATTTTTAACACTGCCTTAGGGACACATGCTCTATCTTAGCAAAATATACATCCCCTGGCTGTATTCTGAATTTCACTGATCAGTAAAACCGTCAGTTTTGAGAAAAGCAAGTTTCAACTGGTGCTGCATTACCATTTGGAGTCAAGAGATGGACTCAGTGCCAGGCCCTGACTCAGGACCCCCAGACACTGCCGCCTGCTTTAAGAAGCAAATGCACAGCCAGGTATTCCTCAGTACAAAAGCTCATTGCTCAAGCATCCATTCCCACTTCCCTCTGTTTTCAAGTCAAACAACACAATGGGGTTCCCCTACTCCAAATATCTGTGACCTCCAAAAAGCACCAACAAACAGACGGACTTGTCTCTACAGATGTTATTTTCTCTTAAAGACAGTAACCCAGAGTTTAAGTGAAGCTGTTACAGTTTTGTGTGTTGCATGTGGTATCGTCAGATCAGACAGTGAGAAAATGCTTGGAGTGGTTTTGTGTTGATGCAGTGCAAAGAAAAAGGATGTAGTTCTTTACTATGACAGTGATGAGATGCTGGAACAGCTGCCCAGAGAGGCTGTGGATTCCCCATCCCTAGAGGTGTTCAAGGCCAGGTTGGATGGGCAGCCTGGTCCAGTATTAGATATGGAGGTTGGTGGCCCTACATGTGGCAGTGGGGTTGGAGTTTTTGATCCTTGAGGTCCCTTCCAACCCATGCCATTCTGTGATTCTACCTATGAACATCAGTCAAATCTTTAGTTTTGAAGACTGGAAAACAAATTGTGCAGGCACTTGAGACATGGGTGGCTGCTGGTACATCAGTGGGGCATCTAAAGTGTGCTCAGCTCTGCTACAACACAACTCCAGCAGGCACAGCAGAGAAAATTCGAGCAATGAAGCGAGGGAACCCAGTGGGAGGACAAACAGTGGTTGAGATGAAGGCAGCGTGGGCTGCTTTTCCTGCTGCTTTTCCTGCAGAGCAAACAGATCTCTGGGACAAACTCCCCAAGCCTCTGGCTTGATGGCGCATATGCAAAATATTTTGTGCATGCATTTTCTAGCTGCAAAGCAATTGAGGAACGGTAGGGTTTGTGCAGCATTCTTCTAGAAATATGAAAACCTCACATACCATTCCAGTAAAACGCATTGCTGTCAACTCTTTTCCTACATGAACAAAACCTACAGGCAGTTGAGGTTCTGTTTGAGAGTGACACGGCGGGCAGCTAGCGAGGGCCTGCACAGAAAATAGTTTCTCTGGAAGCTGAGTGTTTTTCTGTGGAACCTGCATAGAACTTGCCAGATTGCTTCTCCAGTTACCAACAAATGCAATGATTCTCTCTGCTGTTTGGAATTTTTTACATTTTTGCAGCTCACTGTTTCTGCCTCTCCTCTATCAAAGGAACCTCCCTGTAAGCAAGCTGAGGAACTGGCAGTTCCTGCTGACCAGTGCTCAAAATTCACTGCAATACAAACCTGGGCACCATGCACCCAACCAGCTCCCTGCACACCCCTGCTGACCACATGTATGATCTGAATTGGAATTCAACACAGCAACTCCTCTTGTTTCCTCATCTTGAAAGAGCAATGTTCAGCCCATTGGACCATAAGGGTCAGAGCCACCTACAGCACAAAGAGCATCCTCTGGCTCCAGGGCACCCAGGGCTGCCTTTCTGCTGCCCCACTCAGCCCCAGCTGCAAGTAGCTCACCTGCAGGAAGTGACAGATGAGAACCCAGGAGGCTCTAATTAGTTCTTGAAGAAAAAATGCCATCAAGCAATTTCTGAGATGCTTACAACATAAACACTGCTGTGGTGGTCTCTGTCCACTGCCCTCCGCTGGGAGCAGGGAAAGGCTCTGCCATTTTTTTCATGATGTAAACTTAGCCCAGTTTTACTGAAACTCAAATTTCCATTAAAAGGGGGATGCTCCAAAATAGCTATTTTTATCTGTAAAGCTAGTGAAGGGTTTGGATTGCTGCTTCCAATCGACTTTAATGGAAAATTGAGCATATGGATTCTCTGACATCTGCACAATCTGCTTTATTTTTCCATGAATACTTCAACTACAAACTTATAAATTCCCCACATTTTCTACCTAACATCTGCTAGAATAACAGTATTTTATACAGCTGAAAATCTTAAATAAAAGCATATTTAAACAACTGCATCTGAGAAACATACTGCCTGTCAAACAGCCACCTGCTCTTTTTCTTGCAGCTAAAATATTGACAATAAGAATATATGTTCTTTTGCTAAAAATCCCAATTCACATAAAATACATATTATCTCAATATTTATTTGCACTCTAACAGTTTCCATCTCCACGCAGGGATATGAACTTTTCAAATGACAACAGAGTGGCACTCATGCTCTGAAATCCTAAAATATATTTAGCAAAGATGTTTAATAATAGCTCTTTGGTTAAAGCACTTCCTCTGCATATTAAAAAGCCTATTACCAGCTTACATAATGCAAAGCCATGGCAGAAAAATGAACCGTGATTACAGCGGGCGTTGCGTGATTCCATCCCTGCGTGCGGCTTTAAGACACCGGTGATGAAAGCAGAAGCGACAACCGCACTTCTGGGCTGCCCAAGGCCCAAACGCAGCACACAGACCCCAAACTCGGGGCTCAAGAAAAGCCTGCTGGATGCTCAAGGTTACACCTGATACGTTCTTTAACATAACAACGCTTTCTCTTCAGTGCTGAGATGGGTTACTGCTTCTGAGGCACGGCATACGCACCAAGCAGCAGGCAGAGATCTTAAGGGGAAGGATGGAACAGGACAGCCTGAAGCCAGTAATAAAGCAGTGTTCTTTCTACAGTGTTTCCCAGCTGAAGAATTAATACATTTCTCTGCAAACACCACAAGATTTCCTGCTGCTGAAGCAGAGAATTGCCACCCCCATTTCACCCCAAGGGAGACTTCAACAGCTTCCCAAAGCCCCGCAGATCCGCGTGAGGTGGGAATGGAGACTGCTAACAACGCCTCTCCAACAATAGGCCTCGTAAATGGCTCCCTTCATGAAATAACCCACTTCAGTGGAGCTATCCTCACTGAGGAGTAAGCATTTGAACCCTATTCAGAATGCAGCACGCAAAGAAAACCAAATTTGGCGCTGTGTAACAGCAACAGCTCGAAATAAACTTCCACAAGGGCCCTCAAAAGCAGAACCCAGCTCCTGAGAAGCTCAGTCTTTGCTGCAACCGATCTGTAAGAGCCAACACAGTGGCAAAATCTCTTACAGACACAGAGCTGGCCAAGCACCCAGCAGCGAGCAGCAGCACTGCAGGCTGCTGGGCAACAAAGGGCTACTGAAACACAAGTGCTCGGGCTCAGCTTTGCTGGCATTCTTCTGAAGAACCTCAGCCTCACGTGAACTCTGCGTGCTCTTTCCACAGAAGTTCTGTAATTCTTATGTACAAATAGGTGA